GCCCAATCAAAAGTGATTAGGCATTATGATCATCTAGAGATGGATGTGACAATCACTAAATCTTTTTTTGTATTTATGGAAAGGTATGGTATTACTATTTAATAGCCCATTCTTTGACCAGCTCAAGAAAATGTATAAAAAGTGTTTTTCAGCATAAGGAAAAGTCATAGTTGAAATATATAGTAATTAATGGAAAATTTCAATATTTATAGCTCACAATATAGATTTCAATGTTTTATTAAGCAGTGTATATTAAAACAACTTGTTTGAAACTTAAGACATCTGTTATATAGTATAGTTATAGACATTCTGATACTAGACAGTGCTATAGATATTTTACACTCAATAGCACAGATTGCAAATTGTCTTTACAAAGATCCACAACTTTGCACCACCTGGCACAGTCGATGCTTTGCAGAAAGAGTATCACAACAAGGATAACAACAAAAAGTGGGAGTGGATTAGGAACGGCGAGATGAAATCTACGAAATCTCCTTTGGCTGAAGGAGCATCATTAAGCATCTCCACCGTTATGTGGACTGTTGTCTTATGACTCTTGGAAGAGCAAGTGCTTAGTTACTTCCAGCAGTTCCAAGGCTTTGCCTGAGTGAGAATTAGGTAAGCGTTCTTATTTCAAAGTCACAGAAAATCCACTTTAAGCAGTGTAGTTAAGATGGAGATTTATCCGCAGCTGATGTAGGAGAGATCTGCGAACAGTCTGAGGCACGATCATCCATGAAGGGTCTGTGAGTGAGACCCATCTTATTGTCCTGTGCAGTCCCTATACATATATACACACACACACACACACACACACACACACACACACACACACACTGGCCTTTGGAGAGAGGCTCTGATCCAGTATATTTAAGGACTGGAAAAGGAGTCAAAACATATTAACTGCTTCCATGACTGTTTCATTCATTATGGGGCGTGTTTCTGTCCCCCTGCACAATTTTGTTTTTATTTTTATTTTATAAAACCTCCATCAAAAGTAAAGCTATGCATATTAAACTCTTTAAATGCATAGTAAATACAAAAAGTTACCACACATTTCTAAACATTAATGAAATCATGCAAAAAAAATTCTGCTCTTAGTGAGAAGACTTTTTACATAAATAGCGGATCGTTATTTTTACATGTTTTTTTTAACATAATATCATTATACTACATTATACATTAAGGCAGTGCTTGGAAAGTTTAAATCATAAAATCCCAGCAGGCAATCTTCAATTAGTCAATGCACTGATGTCGGCTGTTTCTCTGGATGATCATAATTCACACACAGAATAAACAATAATTCATTAAGATAAAAAATTGTCAAAGTACTGGCAGTCATATTTAAAAATGAAAATATAGATATATGAACTGTACACATAGGCATATTGCACATAGAATTGACTATTCTAGGCTTTTAACTGACTATTTGTTTACTTCCAATCATTCTGCCATTGCTGTTAAACTGATTTGACGAATGTGCTTGTCAGGTTCACAAAAGGATAAAGGATGCGTCACTGGATGACAATATATTATGTTGACCTTTGTATATATAATACATTGTTGTTCTACGATGTAATTAGGAAACCCTTCAAAATGAGTTGGACAAGACAATAACTCCTATCTCATTTGTTACCTTTAACCAAACAACTGTAAAATCACAATGGGGTTTGATTAAAATGCTAACAATCCCCAAAATAGAGGGTGATAGTATGATTTTATCCAGTACAGTCAGCTGCTTCGGTCTGAGAGAAGCTGTTCCAGACAGTGCTATTACACTTCTTTCCTCTTTGGTGAAGACTTTACAGCTGTGCCAAGAAAATGCTATTATTATTGCTATTTAATGTTAGTTAATTTTTTGAAAGTAAATTACTTACAAATCTAACAGGCTAGTGGTCACAGTGTTTAACGTAGAGTTCTTGGCTATCGAGCTGACCTCTGAATCGCGGAACTTAATCTCATACGTTGTGAGGAACCTATGCATTAAGGTTCCTAATGGTGAGTAGTTACCCACATGTCCCAGTGAAGAAAGATCCTACGCGAGTCCTTAGCAGTCGATTGGAGTATCCATATTTGCCACTGCTAAGTGCTTGGTAAGTCCCAAGGCTGGTCTCCCCCCAGGACCATTGGATGCTCTCATTCCCTTCAAATCCATCTGCTCCTTTGGTTGAACTCTGGTATATTTTCCACAGCTTAGTGATTTCCCTCATCTACCTTTCATGAGTCAATCCTCCAGTTGCAAATTTCTCCAGTCCCATTTTTCTCATAACTGGGCCTGCGATGCTAATACCTTTGGCGCGACATTCTCTCAAGCACAGCTGGGGCTTTTTAAACGCTGTCTTCGGCTAGCCAAAAGAGATGCGGCAATCGAGAATCCAGCAAGAAGTGAATCACAGTCCTTATTTACCTTTTGTTGCAATCCATGAGATTTTACTAAGAAGTGATTAAATGCAAAAGATGGCTATCAAAAATACTCAAAGAAAGCTTTGCTTTTGGCTGTTGCTGGTCCAGAAATGCTACCATTTTTCACAAAACCCCAGGGCTCCCAATTTACCCAGTTCCTTTTGCAAATGGAAAATGTTGTGAGACGGCAAATATGTTACTTGTGGTGTCAGCTTCTGGGAAATGTATTACAGATAAACAAACCGCTCGCTGCATCCGAGGAATACACAACAGACACCTAGGTACCACCCAGGTAGGGGTATAATGAATCAGTAACATGATTCCCAAGTATTTCAGTGTAAGCTGATTGGATGTGCTGGAGCGATGGAGAATCCAAACAGCATCCTGGAGAACATGATCATTCCAAGTCAGGGCAGGAAGAGGTGGCCTTCTGCTTATTGGGATTCATTTCCACCTGCTAATACCCACTAGCCAGATCCATTGTGGAGTGAGGCCATCTGCTTTGAAGGGGCAACAAGTCAGTCAATAACAAACAGCAATGAGAATCTGTTGTCTGATAGAGAACCTTCTTAATTACCTGCGCTGCCCACTGGATGTCCGTCCCCCTGAGCCATATGCAGCTTAGCATATAAAATTATGACATTTTATTTATAGGACACTTTTATCCAAAATGACATACAATTGAGAAAGCAGAGTCAGCCAGTCCCTGGAACGATTAGGTTTAAGGGCACAATAGTGAAATCGCTACGCCAGCGATGGGATTTGAACCAATAACCATCTGATCACAAGTTCAGGGTCCTGCTCCACAGAGCCACCCGCTACCTTAAAACTGCAATGCACATTCCAGCGGTGCGTTCCAGTGGTGGAGGGGCTGCTGTTATAGACGTATGTGTAGTATTAGGTTAATCCACTTGAATTACCTTCACGGCGGCTGAAACCCCCAGCTCATGGATTGAACTACTTGTTCAACTGTTCATTAGCAGTTCAGCTATTCAGTAACTTCATTAACAGTGTGTATAGCATACAACCCATTGGCTTCCCCCTTAAAGTCCATCTTGGATATGGCATAGAGCACTGGGTTCACACACGTGCAAGCAGCTACTGTATGTCCGCAAGTCTAGTTTGTTCCTAGGATGAGGCCACACCCCCTTTGTTACTGCTATGCTCATCTAGCCAGACTGTCTTACTTTTCCCAAAGTCATTCATTCATTTCTATAGTGATTCTTTTTCCTTTTCCTTTTCCATCTTCTTTGATCTAGTTCCTGACATAATTCGGCGCAGCTAATAAAATGGATGATCAATCTATTTGCAACCAAACATTTTGTTGACTTTCACATTTTTTTCAGCTCAGCCATTGAGTGAAAAAAATGAGATTGTCATAGTAAAGATTGGCTTATAAATGCACGCAATAGTTTCTTTCATTTGAACGTAGTCCATTATTATGAGAAGCTACAAATGATATGTTTGTATTGAAGTTTGGAGTTTTTGAAAATTATGAATAACTTCAGGGTTCATTATTATAATATTGATACAATTGGGCTTTTACTGTAAATACATTTCCTGTCTTATGATTAAGCAATTTAGCAAATAAATTTCAGGATTGTTGGCAATGAGTCACAATTGTTTTGTATGTTGTCAGAATATCAATTCTATCATAGACTGCTTACTGATAAAAATTGTAAACACTCAAAGTGTTAGTGAACAGTAATCTTTCATGAATCATAAATAAAGATTTGGCACTGAATTTCCTATTCCTAACTTACTAAAATGACAAACTTCAGCAAGAAGTCAGCCCTCAGGGTAAGTCAGCGCAGATCTGTGGTTTGTCCTCAGTGCTCCATGCTTTTCTTGGTGAGTCACCATGCCTCACAGAAAAGTGAAAGGCAGGAAATAGATCTGACATGCAACAGAGATTAAGATCAAGATTCCTGTGTTCACGGTGTTGACTGACTCTAGGTATGCAAAGCAAAACCAATCATAAGTGAGTTTGCGAAGTTAAGATTTCCAAGAATTTATTCCAATTTATTTTCTTGCAGTTAAATAACAAAATTATCACTTCATCAACACACTTATTCATTTTTTAGATATGAGAAACTTCTGAAAAGCAACAGTACCATACTGTAAAAGAATTGGTCAGAGCTAGTTACACTATAAAATTAAAGGATCATAATGACATTGACTGATACATTTTTTTAAAAGTTCAACAACACACACAGCAATATATCTGATTCAATCGTGTGAACATAATACAGGCGGAACAGGACAAAATGTGGACAAAAGACCCTCTTCTCTAAAGTTCCTTACAATGATTAACAAGCGGATTAACTATTCATGACGTTCAAAAGAGCGAGCTTCGGAGTCAGGAATCCAGAAAGATAAAGAGTGATACTGGAGCACTCAGAAGTTTGTCCAGTTTAAGACAAATCCTCTTAGCAAAACATTAAAGTACTTTATATAGTTTTAAATCTTGTTTAGCAGTGGCCAAAATTAGCATGATGTTAAAACTCGAGGAAGGGGACATTTAAATGTAGAAGCAGCCATGTTTTGCTATATAAAAATGTTCAAAAAACATTTCCAGATGGAATCGTAACATTAAGACAAAACAGATGGTCGAAGAGCTTGTCAACAAACCAGACTTTGTAACACATGCGCAAATGCGAGTTCATGAGGGCTTTTGCATTTTGAGTACCATTTAAAGGCCGGCAGAACTACAAAGAAGGCGGATGGAAAGCCGAGCCAGCTAAGGTAGAGGAAACTTTCAATGCAGTTGCCTAGGTGCAAACTTGAATAATGTCATAGGAACCAATTCTGCAGTTGGAATGACTAGACTTGTCTTCTAAAAGAATGGAAAGAAATTCCAACAAAACAGAGCATCAGTTGTTGAACTATTTGAGAAGAGGGATCTACAGTACTTAAAGCCTCTACTGAAGATAGAGTAACAAACATAATCAAGGAAAAGGCATTTTCCATACGTTTACATTAAAGTGTGTTGTTTTTTTACTTGAGGATTGAGTTTGCTTCAGAACCCATGCCCACATGTAAGTAATCATGATTCTCCTTTCTAAAATGTGTCTTCTAAACATGCATACAGCCTTTTAAACATCATGACCAATTAATGTTTCTGTAAGTATTATTTTGTATATATTGCTTCAAATAATTTCTTCTAGCAATTGTTTAATTCTAAAATTCTAAATTGCTGATGAAAATTCTTGTTGTCCATTTCTGGACATTAACAGTTCATATAGTATGAATTGTACCAAACTTTTTGCTTTCGCTACTAAATCAAATATGTCTTGAACAATTTAGCATCAGTATTATAACCCACAAAAACCTACTGATGAGAAATTGGTCACCATTACCTGATTTCATACTATTTTATCTTTCGTATTTTACTAATCATGTGTAACATAGACTCTGAAGAACAAAGATGGAAATATCTTTTCAGATACAATTGACGTTTAGTAAATGCGCAACATACATGTGTATAGTTTTTAGCATTGTTAGGTTACATTTGTATCGTTTACATGTTATGGATTTAGACATTTATTAGTTTTCATAACAAAGTTTAATGAAAAAATGACTGGTTATTAGGCTTGACAGTTATTCAGGATTGTTTTTTAATTTGCCCATTTGATGTAACACATGCAGATGTACCCTGGTCCATAACATAATGTTTGCTTTAAAATATACAGAGAGAAGTAAATAAATATGACTTTCTAAAATTAAAAATGCCGGTGTTCCAGTTTAGTTTTGTAATGTAAATTTTCCAAATGTTAAAATGAATAGAAAAATATTGCCTATGGTCGTTAGTGTCAAACTTGCTAAAAATTAATTTTTATATAACAGGTTTATAAAAATTTGAAGTATTTATATTTAGCTATTGCAATGGGTAAGTGCTCAGGTGTACATTATTATTATGCAAGAGATAATTATAATGGTGATGGGTGTTAAAGGCAATGATAAGATTCGTGTTAATTGTTTATGATGAATGCATAATGTTTCTATTATTGCATCATTTAAATTTAAACATGCTAATTGTGAGGGTTTCAGTATCATATTATACTATTTAGCTTAATTGCTTCCAGTTTAATAGGAGATCATTATAGTAATTTGAATGTATTTTATAAACCCCTAAAAATAAAGCAACTATTTCTAAATACTAAATAAAATGTAATAAATTGCTCACTGGATAACACTGTTTCCACTTATCGCCAGGATTGGGGGTTTCAATACTTTCTCCACTCACTGTGTTCATGTTCCCCTCTGGCCTCTTCTTGTAGCCAAAAGTCATGCAATTAGATGAAGTAGCATCTCTAAATTACCTGTAGTGTGTGCGCGTGTGTGTGTGTGTGTGTGTGTGTGTGCGTCCCCGGCAATGGGCTAGCATCCCATCCTGGGTATTTTTCCTTGCTTATGCCCAGTGCTGTCAGGGATAGTCTCCGGGTTCCAGGATAAGCAGGGGGACGACGGTTGGATGAAAGAACGAAGACATACATTTAATTGCACATTCATTTATTTATTTTAGTCTATGCAGTTTTTTGCAAGATCGGTTTCTGTTACTGCGTAATTGCAGATGAATTTCAAAAACAAGCACTTTAACGATACTTTTCCTTGCAGAAAATGTGACATATGGAGTTCCATCTATATACTGTAAATCTTGACGATGAGGTCTGACTGAGATTTCGAGCTACAGTAGGAGAACTTTGCTCAGGGAATCCTCAGGGGATCTGCCGTCCATGCACCGGCAGTCAGTGAGTGAAACAAATTGGGGGCTATGACAGACATGTGACTAATGTCAATCCTCCTCCTACACCCAGGAGACCAAACTGTACAGGCAAGATTAATAAAATATTAATGATCAATGACTTCAAAGTGAGTCATAATGCCTCAGGCGATGTGGCCCATTCCGAATGCCCACTGTCACCACTGACGTGCACCATGTGTCATTGAAAAGAATGTTTACATGCTCAGTAATCTTGGGGAGGGAGTATTTATCTACTGAATATATAAAGATGTATTTAATGTCTTGTTATATTGCTATAAATTAGCTAAATTGTTTTAGGCTGGTTTGAGGATACTCATGAAATATTGTAATGTGGAAATAACAGTGCAAATGACGGTAATGCATCTGGATTAATACATTTTCACAAAGGTGTAAAAGGTGAAATCAATCATATTATTTTCTTCTGTTTTATGTAAATATAAAGCCCACTACGCCTTCCGGAACTTGTACAGGGTCAGTTTACTAATCTCTTTTTCTTCCATTCTCTCCAGGGTCTTTGGATGCTCTACTTTCACACTGTGTAAATGATACTAGTCGGAAAGAGGTGGCATTTGTCAAAAGTTGGTATGGGGGCAGTTTCTGAAGGACCTGGTCAAGATGCCACAGATAAGCAGAGAGGTCAGGTACACATGTGCATGTTTTAACAGGAACATCGCTGAGACAAAGTTCCTCTAAATTCCAAAAGGCTACAGGGGTATCACTAAAGCCACAGTGCATCTTTTCACACTCAAACAAGTCTATTAGTGTTATGCCTGGATAGGATAAAAGCTGCTAATTATAATATACGTCAAAAGAAAAACTTTATACGGTATGTTCGAGCCTCGGTGTGTGGAGTTGGCATGTTCTCCCCAGGTCATCGTGAGGTTTCCTCCGGGTATTTTGGTTTCCCTCCACAGTCCAAAAACATGCTGAGGTTAATTGGACTTACCAAATTGCCCATAGCTGTGAGTGTGTGAGTGTGTGAATGTGCCCTGCGGTGTCTTAGTGTTCCATCCCGGATTGTTCCCTGCCTTGTGCCCAGGCTCTGGACCTCTGTGACCCTGAATAGGACAAGCGTTTACAGAAAATGGATGGAAATTCATCTTCACTAACAACAGGGTTTATTTTACAATAGTCTTTGATTCTAATTTCTTTTTTACTATCATAATTGGAAATTCCATCAGCATGATATTCAGAGTTGGGTAATTGAGGTCCAGAGACCAGTCCAGACCAAGATTTTGTTTCAACCAACCAGTCACAGTCACAGAGTATTCAACTGGTTAGTTGAAAGAAAATCCCTGTCTGGACTTTTACTTTAAAAATAAGTCTAATGATATTCCATGCTAAACCTCTTTTTGTTGTTGTTTCTCCTTAACATAATGGGTGAATCCCATGTGGGTAGGGTGCCTGAAGATGACCCTTGTGTCCAAAATATCCTGCAGAAGTCCATGTACTTCCGGATTGTCGCTAGGCAGAAGTTACTTCAGTCTTCATGGAAATAAACGCGCTGCCTTTACAGTGACTATTGATCTTCCCCATACTGAGGCAAGCTTTATAGGTTGAGATCTTGATGACCTTGTCTCTAGGCATTCTGACTCATTGAATTAGTTTTACACCAGGGGTGCATTTCTGGGAAATCTACCACCCCTAAAGGAAGCCTGCCAAAAACAACAGATGATATTTCTCCCCGGCAACCCAGGGACATAAGAATTTATGCGGTACTGTGGGCCTTGCAAACCTACAGTACACAACCTTTACAAAGCTATCCATTTCAAGCCCAATGAAGCCAGCATGTAGAAGAGAATGTTCACGCCGCGCCTGTCAAGTGAGCACAATGAATCAATAAAAACGCAAACCGTGGACTGCTCCCCTCCTCATCCGCGGACAACACTCACCTATGACCCACACTCCAAATCCACTAAATATATTTTCTTGTCTTTTCTTGTCTCATCACTACTAATTCAATGACTCTCAACATCATAAAAATGACAAGCCATGATGTAATAACCTTTACCGCTTTGTTTAATTTAAAATTATTAATGTCCATTTCACTTGACAAGGCACCAAGGTTGCATAAAATTGGATTGTAATGAAATAAGTGTCATGAATAATTACTTATTTGTACATTTAGATGGAATTGCTTATTTGTCCTGTTCATGTATTCCCTTCTATTGATGTATTTTTCTCAGTATAGGTGGCATATCAGCATAGTGGGAAAGGAGCTTGAAAGATCTAAACAGTATTGATGCTGTTCATTACCTTTGTCCTAGAGTATGCTGGAGTATGCTGGAGTATGCGAGATTTCTGGTCAACCAGGGGAGGCTGACCTCTATTAGGACATTGACAGGTATAGGTCAAACAAGCAAATGTTTGTATTACATTGTGGGGACGAAATGGACCCCACAGTGTGATAAAAACCTGTTATTTTGACCTTGTGGGGACCATTTTTCAGTTCCCCACAATGATCTGTGAATCTAATCAAAAAACTAAAACTTTTGTTTGGTTACTTATGGTTAAGGTTAGGGCTGGGTAGGGGTTAAGGTTGTCATGTTAGGATTAGATTTTTCCCCATAGAAGTGAATGGAGAGTCCCCACATAATTACATATAATTACAAACTTTGTGTGTGTGTGTGTGTGTGTGTGTGTGTGTGCGTGTGTGTGTGTGTGTGTGTTTGTGTGTGTGTATGCAGCATTGGGAACAAGGTCGGGGTACACCCTGGGTGGAATGCCAGTCCATCACTGACCATATAGATGCACACAGACAATCACACTCTATGGTCAGTGTAGCAAAACTGGTTTGTTTTTGTTATTGTCTTTCCACTAAGGAAAGATTGTGAAGCACATGGAGGAATCCCACACAACACGGGTTTGTGTTAGATTGATGGTTGTCAGTGACACATGCAGACAGGGCAGTGGGGGGATTTAAGCCCTTAACCACATTCTACCACCCACACATTTTATAGTTTTACCCTCAATTTGCCCTCAACAGCACAGAAATCACAAATGGCACCATATTTGTAAAATGTCTTTTTTTAAAGCTTGAAACAATGTTCTTACAAAGCATATTAGATATGTTAGCAATGGCATATGGCTAATGATTTAGCTTCCGTCCATCTTGTCTACATCTCTGACTTGATTACAGACCATTTAACAGGTGTGATGTCCCATGAAAGTCCTCGATTAGAAGTAGGATTTAATAAAGCTGCCGCGGCAGACAGCTGTCCAAGAATACAATGGGGGTTTTTTTGTATATTACACATAAAACGTTTCTGCTTTAATTTATTTAAAGAATGTTCCAGACTTCATATTTATTTCTGCCACCGTGCTCCTCGGGGTCCAGGAAAACTAATGGAACATGCTGTGAAGGCCTGAAGCAATGGGAAGCCCTTCAGATGACATCATCATTAGCCAAAATACAGTGACGGGGTGATGCATAATGCTGGATCTAACCTGTGTAGGTTCTGCAACAAAACAACAAGGAAAGAAAAATTTGTTCAGCAGGCTTTTAGTGTTATAGGTATAATGTCATATTATATAAGTCCGTTGATTTGTTCAGTTCATAGTAGTGCGTGCTACGAGAAGAAATTTGTCCTAATAAAATGTCAGGCCGGGAGTACAATGAACTCTAATGACTTTCAGAATTGACTAATGGGCAATAAATCTTAGATTAGACGTCTTGCAGAACTGTGCTAAATTACGCAGCACACATACACAATAACGCGACTGTCTGTATTCCACTGCATAGGCTGATTTATGCCTAATATTTACCGAGACTGGAAGGGTTGCTGAGCACGCAGCCGTAGCAGTGATGTTTGATCAGCAATTTAAAGTAACTCTCTACAAATTGTAGCATAAAAAATGCTAATAATGGGGCTTATTATTGAAATGTACATGTATATGGTACGACAACAAAATTATACTCCTTAACAAACAATTATACTTTTACCTGAATATATGTTATAATAATTTTATACTTTGTAAAACCCCCAAACATACATATTTAGAGTTGCAGCATGGACTGATATTAATTTATTAAAAAAGACAGATTCACCAAAAATCATATTCTGCCATGTCATGGTATGAATAGAGGACTTAGCAGATGATATATGGCTGCTTTTAGTTTTCTGTAACTAACAAATAAGCACAATAAAGCTGATGAATCACACTGCATGACATGCTGCTATTCCTGTGACCTCCGTCCGCATGAAACATTTTCTGCAGATTACATTCTTTATCCTAATAGGTTCACTTATCATCTGGGGCTACTAGAAAAATCTCTGTTAACTCAATCTTGAGGGAAAATTTGTCATTTAAGCAAAAATCAATCATTTTTCCCCCGCAGGGAAATGTCATTCTCCTTAAAATAGATAGAGATACAAGTAAATTTTAGGAGAATATGTTCATGCAAGAATGATTTAAAAATATTTACCTACAACATATGTGAACTTCCTTTTATCATGTAATTCATTTTACACAGGCTGAAATGAGACTAGATTGTTTTAGTTTTGTCCTGGTTACATAATATGGTTTTAACAATTAAAAAATTATCTTATTAAGGATATTAGGCAAACTGTATGTTCCACCTGAAAGGGTGTATGGCCAGAATGGATACTGAATGTGTTTTAAAATATAAAATATAGCAAAGTGCCACCAGGAGACAAAGCTTGTCACTGGGGTGATGCAAGCCGATTGTGGTCTGTGATGAGATTAGCCACTTATTGTGTTCAGACCCCACCCGTGTTATGCAGTAAGAGACAATTAAGTAGGTTAAACTGGCGGGTAGGCATATGCTTTCAGCTTCATGTCCAAGGCTGTATGAGGGCATCAAGCATACCCCAGTAACACAGAAAATTATCAGTGCATAGATCCACTGTTTATGTGCTTAGGTTTGTTTTAGTTACCGTAAGCTTGCCGTTACCAATCTCGAACCGGCGACCTTCTAATCACAGGCAGGGAGCAGAAAGGCTGAGCCATACCACCCACAGACTGCTGAGCCTTAGAAGAATCGGGGTACAGAGAGAACAGCATGTGGCAGGGCGGGGCGGCCACAATACCCCAACAAAACCCAGCTGAAGACAACTGACCTGCATCTCCCTACATCAGGGTTTTTCAAATCATGGTCCCGACAAACAGCCAAGCATCGACGACTTTTCTCCTACCTCCCTCGCTGGTGTACCCTCACTGTAAATAATCACACCCTTCTGGGAACAAAATGGCTTCCTCTGTCTTGAGGTTCTAGCTGCAGAGACAACGTCTACAAATATATGCTATCGGTCTTTAACTTGGCCACATTAGCTTAATGCTTAAAACCAAATGGTATGTTATTTATCGAGCTAAATTGAATTTTACTCAAGTAATATCCTATACTATCTAATTTCTTGTCAGTTAGTTTACTTAGCTCTTACAACTATGAATATTAATGTGGACATCTATGAGCATGAGTCAGACAGACAATTGTGTGTAGAATCCTAAGTATATAAGACATGTACAATGCAGATAGATTTCGATATTGCATTTAAATACATGAGCAGTGTAAGCAATCGAGTACAAGAAAATGCAAATCAAGCGAAGTGAAAAGCCTTATTAAAGGTAAGTAATTTCCTTTCATCGCACTCAGTTGCAGGACACTTTTAAGATGCACGGTAGTTGCCAGTTGCTCTTTTAATGCTCTTCCACATTTGGGAACAGCGGAGTGGAATTTGGATTTTTTCTTTAGATTGATGGCATCCCCTCGTGTCCAATGAGCACTAGTGGAACTGGAAAGTCTTACGGACTCTGGAGTCCACTTTGCACATTTGTATCTTTAGGAGACTCAATTATTTTCTATTTGATAGGGTATTCATATATTCACCTTATTTTATTCAGGATGTGTGGGTGAATATAGAAATTATGTTGTAAAACTAGAGTCCCAAGAAGACCAATTAGGCATAAAAAATGAAAGTGTGCTGTTTCTTTCAGGGGTCGTGGCGAACATGCACTAAGATTTAGATTCAGATGTGACTGTGCAGGAGAACTACTCCGGTGCATCTTGTTAGTTGCATTGCACTTTCAGAGTGTAGTTTCCAAGGTTGGAAAGGCTATCATTTCTTACAGACTTTTTCAGCCCTCAAGTCACCCGTTGACCGTTGTGTTTCCCCTGGTCAAGCAGTGCTTCTTAATTTTGCACCTTCAAGGTTTCTGCGCTTTAAAGAACTTGTTTTTCCTTCACATCCTCAAGCCGCTGTCATGACAACCTGTTTTATTTTTAAAATTGGTCTCCTTGAAGGTGTAAATTTTTTTCCCGGTTACAGAAATGGTTCAAAATCAAGCCTGGGGTTAGTGTAATCTTTGGAGAATGTTAGGTTTAAGAATATTCTCATATCCCTATAAGACATGTGAAGATTATCAAACTGTCGAAGTGTGTTTAATGGAAATGATCACAAAGCATAATATTTAATTTTTTCCCTCGATATAGGGCAATGATGTAAAATGACAAATAACATTGTACTCTCAGGAAAAAAATATATGGGAAACAAGGATAATTCTGAAGTCACGCAATATTCAATGACTATAATAAGTAAAAAAAAATTCTAGAATGCAATTAATGCAAATTTTGCATATCTTAAGAAACTGAAATATTGCATGAGATGTACGTATTTAACCGACACAGGAATCCCTTCCGTATTTTACACATCCAATTTGAGTGTCTTAACGTCCCGTTCCACCTCGCCCTTTTGACAAATAACACCAAATGCAGCTTGATACCTGCATATATCCGAAAAAATGAATATCAGCTCATTGCTTCATTTACAATCATTATCTTTGTTTGTTTTTTATATACAAAATTGCATTAGGGGAATAATCTAGATTCCAAGCCAAACAGGCACCATTTATCTTTCCAATCATTACAGAGAATTCAACTGCCAAATAAGTTTAAAAAATTAATTTGGAGAAAAAAAGCAATTTTCTTTCACTGCTATAGCTCTCAAAAATGTAATTTATTTTCAGGGGGAGCATTATGACAAGACTTTTTTCTCGCATTATAATTGGATACATTTTTCAGTCATAATGGTATACCGTATTACAATAGTTTTCCATGAAATACTACCCATTATC